TTTTTTTTTTTGTGTGCCAGGGATGGAACTTGGGTCCTTGTGCTTGTGAGGCAGGTGGCAGCACCACTGAGCTAAATCCCAGCCCTAGAAAATAAAATTTTTTTTATGGTAAACAGACCTTTATTAGTCTGCCCAGACGGCACTTTCGGAGCCAAGTAGCTCTGAGAGGCAACTGCTCAGGGGCTGAGGTAGTTTTATAGGGTTTTTTGTTTGTTTGTTTGTTTAGAAAAAAAAAAAAAACCCATAGGTTCTTTCTTTTGAGGATTTATAATTTAGACAGGGAAATGAGGCAGATATGAAGTTTGAACAGTGTAGCACATTATAAAAGGCACACAAATGCAAATATATAGGAATAGGGTTTCTGAGGTAAAAAAAAAAATCTGGGTAAGCTGGGTTATGGTTACATGGAGTAAGTAGAAATAGGTTTAAAATAATGGGCATGATTCTGTCAGGTAAAATTGGGCCTTTTTTTTTTTTCTCCCTGGTACTGGGGATTGAACCCCAGCCTGTTTTTTTTTGTTGTTGTTTTTGTTTTTTTGTTTTTTTGAGACAGGGTCTCACTATGTAGTTGAGATTGACCTGGAACTCACTATGTAGCCCAGGGTGGTCTTGAACTCACAGTGATCCTCCTGCCTCAGCCTCCTGTGTGCTGGGATTACAGGTGGGTGCCACCATACCTGGCTCTGTTTCATTTTTTAATTTTGAGACCGGGTCTGGGTAACTCTGGGTAAATTGCTCTGGCTGGCTCAAACTTTGGATTTTTCTGCTTCAGCCTCTTAGAGTGCTGGAGTTACAGGTGTGAGCCACCACATCTGGCTAGGAAATTATAGAGGTTCCTGTGTAGAGGAAATCATAATAGGGATGTGAGCAAAGAGAAAATTTGGGACCAAAAAGGTAGTCAGGTTTCCTCTTGACTTCTCAATTTATAAAGCCAGAATTTAGAGTGGCTTACATGTTGAACTAAAGCATTTGAATTTTCTCTTGGTACACAATCAAAATTAAAAATAGTGTGTCTTGTGCTATGGTGGGGAGGCTACTTTATAGAGTAAGTACTAAATTAAGTGTAGTGAATTAAGTACTGGTGAATTAAGAATAGTCTTTTGATTGGTGAAAGAATACGCCCAGAGGAAGCAAGTAAATCTAGCTAATGATTGTGCTGGAACTAAGTTGAATCTCCTGATCCACTCCAGAGTATTTTGCTCTTCTTGGCACCTTGTTAGAATGAGGCTGTTGGAATATGGAGACCACAGATGCCTTGTGTAAACATTGGCAGAGGTTTTGGTAGAAAAGCCAAGAAAAAGCAAGTCTAAAATTTCCTTTAGCAGAAAAGTTGGAAAAATACAGCAGGTACTTTTTTTTGTTTGCTTTGTTTTTTTGGTACTGGAGATTGAACTTGGGCCCTTGTGCTTGTGAGGCAGGTGGCAGAACCACTGAGCTAATTCCCTGGCCCCAGCAGGTACTTTTAATGAATAGAAGTAAAAGGGATTATAGGAAGTCTAGAATTTACATGAAATGGCCTTTTATGATTTTACATATTCTTCAGTATCTTTAGGAAGAGAGGGTTAAAGTTCACCAGTTATGATAGAGGGGAAATGGGGAAATGCTTGATGGCTGATGTCATCAGAGCTATTTTTTTTCATTTTATTTTCCACTGTTGTTATCTTGGCCTCAAAACTTTAAAAATTCTTCAGAATTTTTTCTTTCTTTGATGAACTCTTTTCCTGGCTTACAGCTGTTAACTCCCAGTATTTGTCTGGGGCACACTGTGCACATTTGCCCTGTGAAGCTGAATCTGGTATTATGCCTCTAACTGTGGATTTTATTTCCTACTTAATTTGTTATCATTTGGGATGTCTACTTCTTTTGTTGTCTCATGACTTTCTTTTCTTCTTCCAAAGGCGACAGCCCTGTACCGTGTCTGAAATCTTCCATTTTTGTTGGGTGCTTTTTATATATGCAAAAGGTAAGAAAAGGGTAATATGTAGATATTAATTAGTTTATTTACATTTTCAGGTACTAATTTTATCAACCTGTAATATGTATCAAGAAATCCTCACTGGGAATTTTCTCAAGGGCTTTTTTGTTTGTTCATTTAAAAAAATTCATTATGTTTATTGGTACATTTTAGGTATACAGTATGATGACATTCATCATTGGGAATTTGTACCTTTACATGATGCATCTTGGTTCTTATTTTTTCCCTCATTCCTCTGCTCTCTTCAACCCCTCCACTCCTCCCTATTTACAAAGATTTTGTTTCCATTTTTTTCCTTTTCTTGTAGTTATTCTTTCCCTTCTTTCCTTTCCCCTGCCCCTCCCACTTCCTCTTCCTCTTTGAACCTTTTCTTCCTATTTTACATTATCTATTATACATTTTGATCCTTCTCATTGAGGCCATACTCTTTAAGTGAAATAAATAGGATGCATATGTGTAAATACCAAATAATTTCTCTGGTGTGAGAAACTGGAAGTGTAAATAAGGATCTGAAGGGTTTTAAATCCTAGATTCTTTTTAAAGTGTCACCTCTTTGTGAAAGGGTCTTTCGAATTTCTTTACAATGTCCAAATCTTCTCTTAGTAAATGGTGAATCTTCCTGGGTGCCAGTGGTGCAATGGATAATGCATCTGACTACATATCAGAAATAAATGGAGAATCTTTTTAATTATGTTCTTAGCATCTTTTTCGACCAAAGCTATTCTGAATGATGAACTGAAAACACCTCATTATGTTTATGCTTGTATTTTTAGCTATATTTTTCATGATACATGTCTTGTTCAACTAAGTGGGAACTAATCATCCCCAGAGTAGTTCAAATTACTTTTTCCATCTTATTCAGATAAATATACTTAATCAAATGCCTTAGACACTACTTGTTTTCTCTCCTTTGCTTACTGCATTTCACCTAAGATCTGCATTCATTTAAGTACATCTCTATTTTTTTGTTCTGTGTATTTCTATATAAAAAGAATTCTTGGTAATCTGAAGGAGAAAGAACAGTTGTATTGATTACATAGCTTGTTCCCTATAGAATATGTGACCTACCTTTGCCACTAAGATAGCCCAATAAAATGCAAAGTTAAAAACAAAATATCTAGAGATGGAGTCCACAAATACAGTATTGCCCCCTTATTGATGGGGGATACATTCCAAGACCCTCAGAGGATGCACGAAACCAGGGATAGTTCTGAACCCCATGTATGCTATTTTGTTCTTATACATACTTACACAAAGTTTAATTTATAAATTAGGTACAATAAGAGATTAGCAAAAATAATTTATAATATGTAAAATAGAACAATTAAAATTATAATGAAAGTTATATGAACATGATCATTCTATCTCAAAATATTTTCTTGTACTTTAGTTCTTAGCAACCTCAGCATTTTTTTCTCATTAAGTCAAGAATTTTTGCCTTTTTTGCTTGAAGAAAGCACTTCAGGGCTTCTCTTTGGCATAAGCAAGTTGTTGGCATCGTTATTTTTGCCCTTGGGATTAATCATTAAGAAAAATAGTGGGTATTTGGACAAAAGCATGGTTATATTGTGACAATAGATCTGATGACCAAAAAAAGCTACTCAGTGACTGGTGGAGGGGTAGAATAGATAGTGTTGAAATGCTGGAGCAAGGGATGAATCCTGTCCTGGGAGGGCAGAGCTGGATGGACAGAGCAGAACATGAGGGATTTCATCACACTACTCAGAACAGCACACAATTTAAAACCTATAAATTGTTTATTTCTGGAGTTTTCCTGTTAACAGTTTCAGACCACAGTTAACTGTAACTGAAGCCACAGAAGGCAAAACCATGGATAAGGAGACAATACTGTATAGGGATACTCTCATTATGAGATTAACCTCAATTTACTCATTTTAAAGATTAGGCAACTGATACCTGAAACTAGCTGCTAGGAACCAAGCTAGGATGTGAACCCATACTAATGGCTCCTGGTTTCCTTCTGAATGTGAAGGCCTCTGGCCACTGATCTCCAGGTGTGATTTGATTAATTACTGCTGTTCTGACTAGTTGAGGATCATCCTTCTTTTTCTAAGCTCTGTCCTTGATTTGAATGAAAACCTTTTCCTCTGTCACATGTGAGCTGTTTGATTATGCTTTTCATCACACTGGCAGCTTTCTTTAGAGAAGATAAAGTAGTATGATCAGGAGCGTGAAACAAAGAAAGGTGTAACAGTAAATAAACTTTTTATAGCAGCTGGAACAAGTTTTAGCTTGTGTGGCTGGTATTCTATAGGATAGTAATTTTCTCATATGATGTGTTTGGCAGGTATGTTTAACTTCTAGGATTTTAAAAAACTTTTGTATATGTTTAGGAATAAATTTATTTGATACTATATTAAACTATTGAAAAATAATTTTATAGTTTGTATGTTGTTTTTACTTGAACAACTGAGGTGGCGTATTTGTCTCGGCAACTAGCTCAGTATTTTGAATGTTATCTTATGCAGTTTATAATTGATCTGAGCCAGGCGTAGTGGTGCACGCCTGTAATCCCAACACTCAGGAGGCTGAGGCAGGAGGATCGCTGTGAGTTCAAGACCAACCCTAGGCTAGTGAGTTCCAGTTCAGTCTCAACTACATAGTGAGACCCTGTCTCAAAAAAAACAAAAAAATAAATAATTGATCTGAAAAACCTTTATTTTTGAAAAAAAATTTGAGTGGGAGCCTCGCTGTATTACTCAGGCAGTCCTCAAACTTATGATCCTCCTCCTAAGCCTCAGAAGTAGCTGAAACACACCTCCATTATGATCTTTTATGACGCACCAGGATTTGTTTTTTAGTAGTTTAATTGATTTATTTTGGAGGAAGTTAGACTCTAGCCACCTTTCTCATGACTTTATCTGCAGCATATGAAGATACCAGAGTATTTTATTCCTAATAAATAAATTGTTTGCCTGCTATCTTTATTGACTTTGTATGACAAGTACATACAAGTTACAGAAAAGTTTGGGCTTGTCAAATGAAGACCAATAGGGGCTATTTCCTGTTTTACATGAAATCTCAAATCTTCTCATTCCTAATAAGCCAAGTCTAGAGGTTAAACAGCTTCCCTTTTACCTGTTATATTTGGTGATTGAAAGATAAAATACCTCACAAAGTGAGATTTATAAGGTCAGTACTTGAAATAGAAAGTAAACCATACTGGGACAGTCCTGGAATTTAAATTAGAACTTGATCTTCAGGAGCATTTCAGTTTTTTGTTTGAAGTTACAGTGCTGCTGGTTTTTCTTTCTATGGCAAGTACACATCAGTGACAAGTTTAGGCTTGTCAGTGTGATGGGCTTTGTAGCTTGAAACCAGTACTACTTTCTGTTTTATATACGAGGAGTTGAGTCTATTTGAATATTAAACCTCTGTACAGTAGAATCACGCCAAGTTAGTTTGTTCATATCATGTAAAATTTAATCTATTAATAACCATTTGCTTTTCTGGCAGCAGAAGGATTTTTTATCTATTTAATTCATTAAAGATGATTTGTTAAATGTTTCTATCTATACAAAAAAATAAAAAAAGAATTGCATACCTGATTAGCTGAGGTAAGTGGTGGTAACTGTGGAAGAAAGGGGGGAAGACCTTAAACAAAGCCAAAGGGGGTTAGTTGTGTGTGTGTGTGTGTGTGTGTGTGTGTGTGTGTGTGCGCGTATACATGCATGTATTTGGGTGAGGCAGTAAGTATGAAAATGCCAAATTTTGAATAATTCTTTGACTTTCTGTTATCTATTTAAATTGAATTTATCTGATATTATAAGAACATAAAATCAATACAAAGCATATATGTGCAGTATTGTAATTAAAAAGGGACAGTCTTGATGTTATTAAAAAACTTAGAAATACTTCTTAATTTCTAAAATTAATAAAACTATATGTAAAAACAGCTTTTAGTGTTAGGCTTAAAATAGCACTACAGAAAGGAAATGCTTTTGGTTTAGGTTTAGGTTTCTTATAGCTTTATTATCAAGCATTGACAATTATCCTTAGAATAGCAATTCTAGAATTTACATATCATTAGTTGCATTAATTTATATGAGCTTATCTAGTATTACTATATAAAAGAGTATTAGAAATGTTACTGTTATGAGTTTGGTTAAGGGTCCTGGTCTAAGAGTATACATGAGAAAAATAATTATATGAATCTTTATTCAGCTATCCCCTTCTATTTCTAGTAATTTTCTTTTTAAATTTAATTTTAATTTATGTCATTGTACATATATTTTCACGAACTTGTAGTATCTGATAGTTTATTCAAAGTTTGTTATAAAACTTTTGTACACTTTGAGATAATTTATAAATCTTTTTTTGTGTTCAGAATTGTTAAAAGATCAACGATAATAAAATTTTACTCAGCTATTAGGTACTTAATAAATGCTGATTTAATGAATATTGAGTGCATACCATTTTTGGTAAGGTTTCAGTTTTCATTACACTCATAGGAGTTTATTAAAATAGAAAACTAATGTCTGAAAATGTATATTTGCCAAAACAATGTAACTCTTGAGTCAACATTGTACAATGTTGAAAAAATGTCATTATAATCAAAGGAAGAAATTACAGTACCTTGAAAAGATTGTAAAGGTGATGGTAATTTAATTATAACTCTTCATAATCTGTAGGTAATTTTCCTATGATTAGTGATGATTTGGTCAATTCTTACCATCTTCTGCTGTGTGCTTTGGACTTAGTGTATGGAAATGCTTTACAGTGTTCCAATCGTAAAGAACTTGTGAACCCTAACTTTAAAGGTAAGTTTTCATATCAAAGATTTTTGGACAAGTCACATTTCTACATTGTGTTTACTTTTGGGAATTGCACATAATACAGGTTTTTCAGCCTCAGAGGACATGAATATTTGAAAGACTCATAATCGTAGTTACTGAGGGCATTTTTAATGAGCAGTCGAAATCTGTGTAGGTTTGTATTTTTGCAAAAAAGCAAAATTTAAAGTCTTCAATGACAACATAGTGTCTGAAATATATACACAGTTAAATATAGAATAGACATTTCGAAATTTAGAGCAGAAAAGATGACATTGAACCTGGTAGTATTTTTCAGTATCAGCAAGCTTTCTGTGTGGCACACTGTAGGAAGCAAGAAAGAATTTATTGAAAAAATCTCCAGTTCAAACTTTTTGCTGAGATTCAGACAAATTATTTATAGCTAAATGGATGGACCTTGAGACCATACTCTTAAGTGAAATAAATCAAACACACATGTTTAAAAAAACAAAACAAACTTTTTGTTGTAGAGAGTAATTATAATTTGAAAGTATTAAAGTGAACTTTGATCTCCTAAACTGACAGATGTATAGAAATGATCATTATTCTATGAATGGTATTGAATTCAGTGCCCAAATTATGATTTATGAAACAAATATTGAAAATATTTATAGAGCTGATGTATAATGCTGCTGGTATTTGGTAGGATTGTCAGTTTTGGCATGGTACCAGTTAGAATTTCACCTTGTCTCTCTATCCAGGTAGGTTTTTTTTTTTTTTTTTAAATTGAGACAGGGTCCCACTATGTAGTTGAGAATGACCTGTAACTCACTGTGTAGCCCAGGCTGGTCTTGAACTCACAGTGATTCTCCTGCCTCAGCTTCCCAGAGTGCTGGGATTACAGGCGTGCACCACCACGCCTGGCTTAGTCTTTTTTTGGGGGGGAGCGGTAGGTTTTTAATATTAGTGGATTTAATTACTTCAGTTGCTTCTGGTTTGATAAATTAATGTTCCTTGTACAGGTTGAGCATCCCTAATCTGAAAATCTTCAAAAGCTGAAATTTTAAAGTTCAACACAATGTTCAGAAAGTTTCAAATTTAGGGCTATGGATATAGCTCAGATTAAAAAACAATTTAGATTTTAGATTTTTGGATTATGGATGCTAATCCAGTAAAATCTATGCAGATATTCCAACATCCAAAAAGCTCTGAAATCTGAAACACTTCTAATCAAAAGTATTTTAGGTAAAGGATACTCATCCTGTCCTTTCTCTTATTCCTTCCTCTCTTTTGTGTTTCTTTTTGTGTATGTGTAGTCTGAGGAGTGAACCCAGGGCTTCATACATCTGTGCTCTCTCCTGAGCTGTACCTGCAGCCTTCCTTTTATATTGTTTTCTCTTGTTTTATAACAAGAAGCACTTGTTATAAGTGCTTCGGAGGGGCTTTTCTGTATTTCTTTTTCATCTTGTGGAAAGCCTATGTCAAGAATAAACTAAATACAGCTAGTATAATTAAATCAAAGTATATAATCCTTAAACTAATTTATTAAATGTTTTATTTTAGTATATGTTTGCAATATGTAATGGTTACGTTCACCATGGGAGTTGGTACATGTACATTTCATATCTTAATTCTGTTTACATCCCCTTCCTCTCCTTTCCTTTCCTTTGAACTGTATAATTTTTGAAATGTTTTTGTTTGAACGTAAGGCTGGTTTGCAAAACTATATTTGATTTTTATAATTTTTAGGTCATGGAGCAATATGCTAAAATTAATTTTTTAGTTTTCCCTTTTAACCATCTCCAGATGACTGAATGATTGAAATCTTTTTTTTTTTTTTGGTATTGGGGATGGAACTCAGGACCTTGCACTTGCAAGGCAGGTGGTGACACCACTGAGCTAAATCCCCAGCCCTGATTGATATCTTTTGAGTGCATATATTTTGTTTTTTCGGTTTTTGTTGTTGTTGTTGTTGTTGTTTTGGTACTGGAGATCAAACTCGGGTCCTTGCACTTGTGAGACAGGCGGCAGAACCACTGAGCTAAATCCCTGGCCCTCTTTTCCATTTTTTGAGGTATGTTTAAGTAGATTTAAATTAGGCTCATATATGCTACTTTCTATACATTCATATTTTAAACCGGCTTTATTATTTATATTTTTAGTTTATTTCAGTGTGATTTATCAAGTGCCAACTGATTTCTGTTTTATGATTCTATATCTCATAGGCCTATCTGAAGATTTTCACACCAAGGATTCTAAACCTTCCTCTGATCCACCTTGTGTCATTGAGAAACTCTGTTCTTTACATGATGGCCTGGTTTTGGAAGCAAAGGGAATAAAGGAACATTTCTGGAAACCTTATATTAGGAAACTTTATGAAAAAAAGGTTTGTAAGAAACAACACGAAAATGTTTTCTGGACAAAGTCTTGATTTCATATGATAATTCAAGATCTCTTCTTTTATCTTAGCTCCTCAAAGGAAAAGAAGAAAATCTTACTGGCTTTCTAGAACCTGGGAATTTTGGAGAGAGTTTGTGAGTGCTACTGTTATAAACGTGTTTTAATATTTTATTTTTTGTTTGTTTTTTTGTACCGGGGATCAAACTCGGGACCTTGTGCTTGCAAGGCAGGCAGCAGCTCCTCTGTGCTAAATCTGGGACCTGTTTTAACATTTTAAATTGTGTATCTATGAAACTTCAGAGTTTAGTGGCTTGCTTTTGTTTGTTTGTTTGTTTGTTTTATTGATTGTACTGTGAAATTTTAGAATGTTTTATGGGAAGAGGAGATAAAATGTCAACTTCTATAAGCACATATTTTAAATTCAGTGAACATTGTTTGACTCTTCTTAGAAGCTTTATTGGTCAGACTTTTGAATTATACATTTGGAAGCAAACCAGTTCTTTTGGAATCATACTGGTGAAAATGATGATGTAGAATGGAAATACTGAGGTCAGAGGCACCTAGCTACACTTACTGGGTAGTGAATGCACATCATGTTGTAAGCTTGCATCTTAATCCTTGACTTTTCGTAATTAACAGTTATCCCAGTGAAATGTAATTTTCAAAATGTTATTGAAACTTTTAATAAGAAATGAAATGAATGAACTGAAACATAACTGAGGTGATAGTACATATTGTCTTTTTTCTTTCATCCTATAGTAAAGCCATCAATAAGGCCTATGAGGAGTATGTTTTATCTGTTGGAAATTTAGATGAACGGATATTTCTTGGAGAGGATGCCGAGGAAGAAATTGGGACTTTGTCACGATGTTTGAACACTGGTTCAGGAACGGAGAGTGCTGAAAGAGTGCAGGTGAAAAACATCTTGCAGCAGCATTTTGACAAGGTGAATTGAGCCATGCCAGATGAGTGGAAATAGAGGAGCAGATAAGCTGCGGGTTCTGTTTTGTTCTCATGATACTGTATGTTTCAGAATACTGTGTGTTTTGCTTGTAGTATGGAGAAGAAAATCCCCATCATATGTCTCTCCCTTGAAAAAGTTACCTTATTGTTTTACTTTTTGCTAACATCACCTTTCAAAGGTTTTAGTTAGGTCTGAGAAAAAGAAAATTTTCTATAAATTTAAACAAATATGTCATGCTGATAAGCTTTGATTTTGAAAATGTAGGTAGATAGTATGTATCCTTTTGTATGATGAATATAGTGGGTGTTTAGAAATTTTAATTAATTTGAATTGGGGCCTTCATTTAAGAGACTGGGGAAACTAAAAATCTGTGTTTTTTAAGAAAATTGTTAAACTGAGTTTTGGGGTCATGCAGAGTTATTTCCAGAAGACACTTAGAGAAAGATAGACATATTTCTCTTTCCTGTGAGTTGCTTCAAACTTGAGAGTGTTTATTCATATAATAATATTTTGAAGATATTTTATAAGTCAGATTATGTCCTGGATATTGGGGAATACAGCATTGAACGAATCAGGCACCCATTCTAAAGAAGCTTATATTCTAGTTTGGGGAGATGGACAGGATAACCAAACAGTTAAATATATGGTATGTTGGATGATGATATAAGAAGAAAAATAAAGTAATTAGTAGTGATACAGAGTCTTGGGGGTAGGAGAGAACAAGTGGGCCTTGGTGTCAATGAAAAGGTAATACTAACAGAGACCTAAAGTAAGCGAGGAATAGCTGGGGAAGTGGATTCGAAGGCAGGAGATTAGCAAGTGCAAAGCCATGAGGAAGGAACATGACTGACTTTTTTGAGGAACAGTGACATTGTTAATGTGGCAGGAATAGAGTGAATGAAGGGAAGAATGGGCAGAAGTGGAAGGGGAAGCAAGGCATGAACTCATCACGCAGACCTGGGAAGGCAGTGTAAGGACTTTTTTCTCTGATTGAGATGAAAGCTTTTAAGAGGGCATTTTTTAGAATAGTGACTCTTGTGTGATCTGATGGATGTTTTTAAATGTCTTGTGTGCAAGTCAGGCTGGGAGCAAGGGCTAGAGAAGGGAGCTGGGAAGCTATGGGAGGAATTTTTGGTGGCTTGATTCAGAGAAATGATTGTATTCGGGTCACATTTTAGATACAGCACCCACAGGATTTATTGAACTTTTGGATTAAGGAGTGACAGAAAGAAATAAGGATAACCGTTGGGTGAATAGATAGTAGAGAAGCTAAAATCTCACACATGCCTTGTAAAGGCTCAAGTGAGCTGATCTGTTACCTCTCAATTCATCTCCTGCTGCTTTCCTTCTCATCCATTCTACTCACTCACACTTTCTCTTTCACTCTTTGGATATGGTAGGCATGCTGTCAAATCTAAGGATTTTCCCTTTCTATTTCCTCTGCCTAAACACTTCTTCAGGATACCCACAGGGCATACTTCCTTGCTTTCTCACTTCCTTCTGGTCTCTGATAACCTGACTGCTATATAAAATAATAGCCAATAGAGTCTCCTAACCTTCAGGACTTCCTTTCCCCTTACTTGCTGTTAGTATCCTCTTAATGTTTGTAGCTTTCTGACAGTAAGCAGATAGGTAGGTAGGTGGGTCACTAGGTAGAAAGAAGTATTTGTTATCTGTCTCCCTGCATTAGAGTACAAACTTCATGAGGGATATGACCAGTGTTGTATGCAGCGTTTATCCTATAGTGGGCATTTAAAAAATACTAACTGTCGATTTTTATTGAAGAAAAAGTCTAAGGAAAAAAATCAACAGTTACAGTTATCAGCATAGTTAACTTGAGATGTCTTTTAGGCATCCTACTAGAGTCCTCGAGTTGATATTTAGAAGTTAACATTCGTGTTCCGAGCAGAGGTTAGGGTTATGTGTAGAGTCGTGTGTCATCAAGGTATGGATGACTTTGAAAGGCATGGAATAAAGAGAGATGACCCAGGCATATGAATTGATAAGAGAATGAGAAAGGTCTAAGGACGGATCTCTTGAGCCACTCCAAATTTTATTGAGTTTTCACATGAAGAAGAAATGTTCCAGTATTTTTAACATCAACTTCATATTTATACCCAAGTTGAAGAAAGATTCCTCTTAGTCAAAATGCACAGGAAACTTTAAGCACATTTAACACCACTACCAAGAAGCTACAGGCTGACCTGAGGACTCTGGGCAGGAAGCTGTTTGTGGTTGTCATACTTAGTTTCTTCCGCAAAGCCAGTCCTGCCTGTGGGTGATGTGGTTACTTGCTGTTAGGTGCTGCTGATTCTTTACCTATCCTGCACAAGGTGTTTTTCTCTCCCAGTGCAGGCACTGGTTCATATAAAGAAGTTGACTGCAAGAAACCTATGGCAAGGAGCACCTTCTGAATTCAGTTAATCTATCCAAGTTTATTGACTTGATAGAATATTTTATATTTAAAATTTTTATTTTTATTATTTATTTCTTTTACGTTTTCGTTTTTTGAGACAGGATCTCACTGTGTATTCTAGGCTGGTTTTAAACTTGCCATCCTTCTGCCTCAGCCTTCTGAATGCTAGGATTATAGGCGTGTGCCACCACGCCCGGCTTTAAGAAGAATTCTTGAAATAAGTGAATATCTTTACTGCTGTCTGAAACAGAGAAATTGTGAAATTGTATAGATTTAATTCAGAAAGTATAAAGATTTATTTCTGTGATAAGTTTCTCGGCTGTTGTGCTAGATGTTTCTAAACATTTAACAGTTAAGGTAGTGTGGTTTCACTTGAATTAAAAGATAGTATTATGCAATCTCAGTTTTTGAAACATTAGAAAAGATGTTTTATTATTAGCAAAAGTACTCATTCTTAAATTCCTTTACACTAAGTCATGTCTTTTTCATATTTATATTCAAAAATGCTTATTTTGCTAAGACCTGTCTACTTTGGGGAAAAAAACTATGATAAATTCTAGTAACTAAAGACAGAAGGGGCAAGAAGACTGAAAAAGACTTTTCTGTATCAGGATAGCTTTGGGGGAATGTTTGTTTTCTGTTTGCAGCGAATTTGATACTTTTGATGGATGTTTGTTAAATTATAGGTTTTATTTGGGCCAGATTTAATTCACAGCTTTAATTTGTTGTTTGGTTTTTTGGAGACAGGGTCTCACTATGTAGTTGAGACTGACCTGGAACTCCCTATGTAGCCCAGGCTGTTCTCGAACTCACAGTGATCCTCCTGCCTCAGCCTCCCAAGTGCTGGGATCACAGGCGACAGGCGATTTAATTCACAGCTTTAATTTGTTGTTTGGTTTTTTGGAGACAGGGTCTCACTATGTAGTTGAGACTGACCTGGAACTCCCTATGTAGCCCAGGCTGTTCTCGAACTCACAGTGATCCTCCTGCCTCAGCCTCCCAAGTGCTGGGATCACAGGCGTGCGCCCCCATGCCTGGCTAACTTTTCTTTGTTTGTTTGGTCACAGCTTTAATTTGTTAATCTTCGAGTATTTGCAAAAAATGCTTAATGGGAACTGTGAAATTCTGTTTCTTAGAAGTGAGAGTGACATTCTTAATTTTTTCAAGTGTAATACTACTATCTTTGCTTTGAGCTTAAATTTTGAAGGAGCAGTAATAGGGAGATATACCTTAGTTTAAAGATTTAACTTTTAAGAGACAAACTTGCAGTTGGCTAAAACTCATATTGCCCTTTTATACATCGTTACATAGAATTTCTATTTCTGAAGTAATTTGAAGTCTTTCTGACCTAAAATACTTTTTAAATTTAATCTGCTTAAATTTCCTCTTTTAGTCTAAAGCACTTAGAATCTCCACACCACTCACTGGTGTGAGGTACATTAAGGAGAACAGCCCTTGTGTGACCCCAGTTTCTACAACTATGCACAGCTTGAGTCGTCTTCACACCATGCTGTCAGGCCTCAGGAATGCACCAAGTGAGAAACTAGAACAGGTTCTCAGGTGAGTTTGAGCCCTCTCTACCTTTTCAAGATTTGGTTGTTGATCACTTTCCAACTCCCTATTTCAGTTTTTTACTACTAGTGCCTTAATTTACCCACTAATTTTATATGAATTACATGTTCAGTTTTTTTTGTTTTGTTTTGTTTTGTTTTTGTAGCGGGGATCGAACTCAGGACCTTGGTCTTGCAAGGCAGGTGGCAGAACCACTGAGCTAAATATCTGGCCTGAGTTTTGCTGTTAATGTAGGAAATAGTTTTAGAAGAATAGGTAGACCATCTTTGCTTGGATTTCTTTAATGTGGTACAGGAGATAGTAACTAACAACACTAGACCCTGTATAATAGAGTACCAAACTGTCTTATTACCAGCTGTTCTATCCAGGAGTTTAGGGAAGGTGGTAGTGGGGTGGTAGTGAAAATACAAGTTGAAATAGGACTTCATGAAGACGATTGGATCTGAACAAAGTTCTAAAGGGAGGATCAGATTTGAAAAGTTTGACAGTTCCATGTGTTGATAAGGTAAAAGCAAAACAACTGCCTGTCAGTTTTGTAAGCTGTATAAAACACTGTTAGCCTGCAAAGAAAGTTAGCCATTTTGAATTCCTTTGATCTGCCTGAGATTGGCAGGAACATTAGTGAGTTTTAGTGAAAAGCACAGTAGACTTGTGTATAACTTTTGACATGTAGATTTGAAAAACCTGACTCACTAACTTACTAAAACTCTAGGATCCGATAACATAAACCTTATGCATCTCCCATTTGTTTCTGGTGGTATGGAATCAGGAAGACCCATAACACATTTCAGTAATTTCTCCCTTATAGCTAGGCTCATGAAATTTCAAGGATGACTACTTTTCCTTTAAATTTTCATGAAGTCTACTTTATTCATAAATTTGATTGTATTTAACACTCAACCAAGTATTTTGTATTTATGGCCTCTTGAAGTCATACTTTTCAGGTGGGCTACATTTGCCTTGAATTTAGAAGTATTTTACAAATACATTTTTAAAGCCTAAGCTCTAGATATCTTTCAGTTCTCTTTATAATCCCTAACCAAGCCCAATTTTTAAGATTTTTATTTATTAGTACATATTTGCAGTACACAGTGATTACCTTCGTCCTGAAGAGTTGGTACATGTACATAATACATCTGCAATCTCCTTATGCCCCCTTCACCTCCTCTCCCCCTACCCCTCCATCACTTGATTCTCTAAGCATAATAACTTTAATTTTAAATACCATTAGTGAGGTTAATTATTACAAATGAATGCAGTACTAGGTACAACCAAAAGGTCTTATTTTTTAAAAAGGTGTGTGGGTTCTAAATAAAATCTTGCCTGTATTATATTCAGTAATTATCTCTAGCAGGAGTATAACAATTTTAATTTTTTTTTCTTTTCTTTTCTTTTTTTTTCTTTTATTTTTTATTTTGGTTTTTTGAGACAGGGTCTCAACTATGTAGTTGAGACTGACCTGGAACTCACTATGTAGCCCAGGCTGGTTTCAAACTCACAACAATCTTCCTGCCTCAGCCTCCCGAGTGCTGAGATTACAGGTGTGTGCCACCATGGCCGGCTTAAATTTTTATTAGTAGACTTTGCAGTACGTAATGATTACATCATGAGGAGTTGGTACATGTACCTAAAATATCTTAATTCTTTTTAGTGCACTTTCCTCTCCCTCTTTCCCCCAATTTTCTAAACTTTTTACATTTTTACACTGAATATATATACTTATTTTCAAAATGAAAGCATAGTTGTTACAAAAGCCCACATGGTCATAATTTGTATAATGCTTTTATATTGAACATGTATTGCTTTCTAATTAAAAAAAAATCAGTGAAATACACCTCATTTGAGGGGTAAAATTCCAAAACAAATACAATAAAAGATGCCGCTAGCAGTTTATATGAGTCTAAGTTATATAAGTTTTATATAGCATAAGTTATATACCTCTTCATTTTATTTCTTCCAGTAGTTCTTACTGGGAATTGTACTGCTCTGTTAGGGAAGCAGCTGAGAGTCATTTTAGTACTCGTAAGGGCTGGGGTTATATAAGGCAAGTGGAGACCAGTCAGAGCATCACATGGGCCAGGCTAAAGCTAAAGCTACGGCTGCTAAACTTACTGCCCTACACAAAAAATGTTTTTCTTCACTCAAAATAGTAATTATCACCTTTGAAAAGGAAATATAGCCGGGCTTGGTGGCACACGCCTGTAATCCCAGCACTCGGGAGGCTGAGGCAGGGTGATAGGAGGATTTCTGTGAGTTCAAGACCAGCCTGGGCTATATATATATAGTGAGTTCCAGGTCAGTCTTAACTACATAGTGAGACCCTGTCAAAAAAAAAAAAAAAGCAAATATGGGATCTCCTGGATTAATTTGGAAAGTATATAGGCTCTCCTGAAATATTTGAGAATATTATGTATATATTGTCTATTTAAAGTATTTTATACTTATATATTAATGGAATTATAGGGATATAAACATTGTATCCCTTTGTGACTTGACAAGACTTTTACATTACATAATTTATTACTTTTGAGGACATGTTCCAGAGATCCAACCCAGGCTATTGCTAATAGATTGAAAGAAATGTATGAAATATATTTCCAGCATACCCAGCCAGATGAGGAATTCAGTAATTGTGCTAAAGGTAAGGTTTTATATTGTTTATTCTGCTCCCACCTTTGATGTTTAACTACATGGAGTCCTTTCTTGGTAACTGAATCAAAAACATGAGGAAAAGATTTATGATTTTATACTGAAAGCTAGAGTATGGCTGTCCATTTTTTTCTGTCATACAAGTAATTTCTGAACCCTTCTTGGAAAGAAAATTTAGACTAATAGCTTAATTGTGTTGGCCTTCTGGTACTTTTGTATTTATAAATTCTTCAGTTTTCATTTGTAAATGGGAAATTAAATAGAAATATCGTGTTTCTTCAACATAGTAAGTACAAGGACATGAGGTATACGGGTTAAATGTTCCTTATCTGAAATGGTTGGGACCAAAAGTGTTTCAGATTTTAGATGTTTTTGGATTTTGAAATACTGCATTAAGACAGTGAAATATTTTAGAAATAGGACCCAAATCTAAATAAAAAAATATTTAGTAATTCTATACAATATTTTCATTTATTTATTTATTGTGGTGCTGGAGCTGAAACCCAAGGCCTTACATGAACTAGACATGTGCTCTACTACTGAATTACACCCCCAGTCCTATACAATACTTTTAGCATTTTGACTGTGACCCATCATCTGAGGTCAGGGGTGGAATTTTCAATTTGTGGCATTATGCTGGTTCTCAAAAAGTTTCAGATTTTGGAACATTTTGAATTTTGGATTTGCACACTGGGGTTGTTCCACCCATAGCTGGTACATGACCAAATCTGGCTTGGGAATTGTCTGATGTTATGGATTGGAGCCAAGGATGTATGTGATAGTAAACCAGTGACATATCTCAGTCACCTTCCCATTATGATAACAAAATCACTGAAATGAGTAACTTAGAAGAGCTTTATTTAGTTTATTGTTTTTGAGGTTCCAGTGCGTGATTGAGTAGCCTCACTCCATTGGGCTCCTGGTGGGAATGAGTGGTGCAGCAGACTTACACCATGGGTCAGGAAGCCGAGATCAAGGGTCCTGCAGTCCCCATCAGGGCAAACCTCTACTGACTTCACCTCCTGGGAACCAAGCCTATAGCACTTGCTTGGGCCTCTGGGGACGTGCAGCCTCCAGTATAGCAAAATAGTGATTTTCTTCAAACACAGGAAAAAAAAGGTCTGACTCTTAGTAGAATGATATTACAGTTCTTTATATGCAAGTTTCATTTCATAATTTTAGAAAAGAGTGAATATTACCATGAAGAATATTAAGGAATTTCAGGGATAATGAAACAGCAATTGTAGGAAGGGTATATATCTGAAATATGGGTTTGGTTTTTAAGTTTTATTTTGTGGGTAGCAATTGAGGAGTGGGCCTTCATTTTCCACAATGTTTTTTTTCTTTGCATTTGATTTTTGTGTTGTTTCACTGTTTCTACAGAAATTGCCAGCAAACACTTTCGTTTTGCGGAGATGCTTTATTATAAAGTATTAGAGTCTATTATCGAGCAGGAACAGAAGAGACTGGGAGCCACAGATTTGTCTGTGAGTAAAATAATCTGTTGATCAGCACAACAAAACACAGCTGCACCCCCTGCCCCACGAGAAGCGAATCATGTGTGGCTTTGGGGAATAAGACTGGCACCTAATGAAGCTGGCCTTCTTACCTTCCACCCCACTCAGGTCTTCTCACTGAAGCAGGCCATGTATTATGATTTAGAGTGTCTGGAGCAGGAAGACTCTCTAGTCAATGATTAAAACACTCACACTTTACCTCATTGAATTGTTAAATGTCATAGAGTTTTTATTTAGGTCTTATATTAAAAAATAATCATTGATCAGATGGAATGTTGACATAAATATTCATCCATTCTTTGGCTAAGTTAATTATTTTTCCTAGATTTTATAAGTCAAGAAATATAGATTTTTCTATAAATGACACTTAGTTTTGATAATATCAACATTTTAAAATTTTTCTATAACTGTTTACAATTTTTATGTGTCAATTAAAAAACAATTTTTTGTTTTTTGTTTTTTTGTTTTTTGAGACAGGGTCTCAGTATGTAGTTGAGACTGTCCTGGGACTTACTGTAGCCCAGGCTGGTCTCGAACTCACAGTGATCCTCCTGCCTCAGCCTCCCGAGTGCTGGGATTACAGGTGTGCGCCACCACACCCTGCATAAAAAGCAGATTTAAAAAATAACCATTCTATGGGGCCGGGGATTTAGCTCAGTGGTTCTGCCACCTGCCTCACAAGCGCAAGGTCCTGAGTTTGATCTCTGGTACCAAAAAAAAAAAAAAAAAAGTTTCTAAAAAAAAAAATCATTCTATGAAGATGAAACTCTAGCAAAAATTAGAAGAGATCATTTTGTGAATTCAGGCGAAGAACATCTAACATATGTACTTATTACATTATAATTGAAAATAAAATTGTTAAAAATTATTTTTAAGATAACATTTTGGAAAAATTGTAAAATTGACCAATAATTATTCTAATTACATAATATTTTATGTTCATATATATGTTATATATGTGGCTATATAAATTTAAAGGGTTGATGATGTAATTTTTTGTAAAAGAAAGGTATATAAAATATAGCTTCAGTTTGAAAGCCAATATTAAGTGTATTCCTATATATTTCTCCAAGTAACTTACTTGAACTTAATTTTTAAAAAATCCCTCTCCCCGCTTTTCCTGTGGTAAATACACTTAACAAAACAGCATTTTTGCCTGCTTAAATTTATAACTAGGTGGCATTAAGTACATTAACAGCATGTGTAACCATCACCAGCCTCCATCTCCAGAACTTTTTTAACCTTCCCAAGCTGATTGTGAACCCATTAAACACTCCCTGCTTCCCCCAACTCCAATCCTGAGTAACCACTACTTTGTGTGTCTACCAGCTATTTTGTTTTTAGTGAATTTACCTATTCTGGGTATCTCATATAAGTAGAGTAATGAAATGTTCATCCTTTTATGTCTGGTTTATATCACATTTTGGGGTTCATCCACATGGCACCATATATCACAACTACTTTCCTTTTGTTTAAACATTTTGTTTACCTGTTCCACTGTCGAAGGACATTGGAATTGTTTGTACCTTTTGGTTACTATAAATATAGCTTTGGTGAATATTGGTGTACAAGTATCTGAATTCCTGTTTTCAGTTCTTTTGAGGTCTTATACTTAAAAGTAGAATTGCTAGATCATAAAGTAATTTCTTTTCTGTGCCAGAGATTAAACCTAGAATTTCATACTTACTAGGCAAGTGCTCTATCTTTGAGTGTGTGCTCAGCCTCATATACAATTTTATCTTACTTTTTAGGAACTGCTATGCTGTTTTCTTTGTTTTTGTTTGTTTCTGTTTGTTTGTTTGTTTGTTTTGGTATAGGGATCTAACTCAGGTCCTTGCACTTGCAAGACAGGTGGCGGAACCACTGAGCTAAATCCCTGGCCCCTGCCATGCATTTTCTGTAACAGTTTTAACATTTTAATTTCCACCAACAATACATAAGAGCCTCAGTTTTCTTATATCTTCAAATCATTTTTTTCCATTTTAAAAATAATATCCATGTTAATCAAGTGCACACCTGTACTCCTAGCACTCAGGAGGCTGAGGCAGGAGGATTGCTATGAGTTTGAGGCCAGCCCTCAAGGTCAGCTTGGACTACATACAAGACCTTGTCTAAAAAAGGAAAGAAAGAAAGAAAAGGAAAGGAAAAGAGAAACCTATGGGTATGAAGTAGTATCTCATAGTGTTTTTTGATTTGTATTTCCCTAATTACCAGTGATATTGAGTATCTTCCCCTGTCTTTTATTTTTGGAAAAACATCTATTCAAATCTTTTGTACATTTGTGAATTGGTTTGGTTACTTATTTGTTTTCAAATTGTAGGGCTTTTAAAAATTAATTTTGGATATTAATCTTTTATCAGATATATGATTTGCAAATATTTTCTTCCATTCTGTGGGTTTTTCACTCTACTGATGGTCGTAATGCAATTGTTAAATTTGAACATAAACAAGTTTTTTTTTGATGGTCTAATTTTTTTCTTTTGTTGCCTATGCTTTTCATACCTCAGTAAGTTTTAAATTCATAAATAATAAATGTTTAAGTAAAAATCATCTGTAATTATATTACCCTGTAATAAGCATAATGACTTTGGTACATGGTCACCTAGCCAGTCACCTGCTTACTTGCCTTTTTATAACTGTGGCCTGTTACTGTAAAATTTGTTTTATAAAATCTTTACACATCATTATTCTGTGCATCAGGGTATGTGCATTTTGGCTAAGGATATAATCTATTAGATATATTTCATAATATATTTTAAAAGATTAAATATTTAAAGGATCTCAATTTATATTTTTGATAAAGAATGAGCTTATAAAGTTAAAAGTTATAAGAAAGCAAGCACATATTATTAAATCAAAAAGCAAGTATTTCTTTTTTTTAAATTTAATTGGTCATGAAAAAACTAAAAATAGTAGACTAAGGGTATTAAATGTTGCTAACTTTGTTTTATAGGGTATTCTGGAACAAGATGCATTCCATAGATCGCTTTTGGCTTGCTGTCTTGAGGTCATCACTTTTTCTTACAAGCCTCCAGGGAATTTTCCATTTATTACTGAAATATTTGATGTACCACTTTATCATTTTTATAAGGTATATGAACTTATAAAGTTCTTATAAAGTCATCCAGTTCGTAATAACATCCAAATACATGGATTTTTTTTGTTGTTTGTTTGTTTGTTTGTTTTTGGCACTGGGGATTGAACTTGGGTCCTTGTGCTTATGAGGCAGGCTGCAGAACCACTGAGCTAAATCCCCATCCCCAAATTCATGAATTTCAATTACATATTTAATAATCCCCATTTAGGGAGCAGAGAAGAAATAAGAGAATCTTTAGACTTATATAAATTCTTTTAGTATGTAATAGTGTGAAAGCTATTTTGAGTAAAAGCTTCATTTGATTCTCATCCTTTCACCTAATATTTGCTATACTAAATAAACTTGTATAGCTGTGTTTTTTATTTTATAAAATTTTAATAACATTGAAAGTGTCTTTTAGGAAAAAATAATGTATTATATTTTATAGAGAGCCACAGAGGTACAGCATTGATTTTTTTTTTTTTTTTTTTTTTTTTTTTTTTTTTTTTTAGTGTTTTTGCCTTGATATTGACTTGGCATGTGGTCAAAACTAACTTCTGTAGTTTCACAGATTTTTAGAAGGTTTAATATGAAAATGATTTATTTACTTATTTTTATTTACCTTTTTTGGGTGTTAGGGATCGATCCCAGGGTTTCATGTATAAAGCATGTGCCTTATTACTGAGCTATACAACATCCCTTTAATATAAAATTTTAAAAGCTGGGTGTAGTGGCGCACACCTGTAATCCCAGCACTCGGGAAGCTGAGGCAGGAGGATCACTGTGAGTTCGAGACCAGCCTCTACATAGTTAGTTCCAGGTCAATCTCAACTACGTGAGAACCTGTG